GGGCAGGAAGGGCTGGGGGATCCCGGATCAGGGCAAAGGGTGAATACATTTTCTTCAATATGAATAAACCAGACCCCAGTTGAAATAGCCATTGTGAGGTGTGTGAATACTCCAGGGGCAGAAAAAGACATTGAATCTTAATGGGGACAGTGTATTGACTGTTAACAGTCAATCAGAGCAGAGATCTGGTTCCTGGGCAGTTAGGCCTAGAGATTGAAACAAGAGTTCAGTCAAACGGGTAGAGCTGGCAGCGCTTAATTTTTGCCAGGGCTGAGCCCCTGCACCTCTGGGCTTGCCATGTCAGTTATGAGAGTAAAAAAAAGCACCTCTTTCATAACCAAGTTAGCACTGGAGCTCGGTCCAGCGGGATAGAGTCCAGGAACAAGCTGAGGGTCTGTATTGGAGGGACAGAAGCTGAATCCCAGAACCAGCAGGTAAAGTAACATTGTAGGCAGAAAAGCACAGCGAAAAGGTTCACCAGAGTCACAGTCAGGAGGCGCAGCCAAGTGTCGGGGGTGGGGGTCCGAAGCCAGGACAGGGCTGGGGTAAGGACTGGAAGCCGGCTGGAGCAGGGCTAGGACAGAGGTGGGGTAAGGACTAGACACGGAGCAGGGCAAGCCCAGCTGCAGGCAGGGTGCGCATCGAGCAGCCGCTGTTCTGCTGTGGGTGCCAGGCTGCTACGCAGGAGTCAGAACTGCTGATCCAGCAGCCACTCGGGTGCCGTGGCTGCCCCGTCAGTTCCAAAGCGATGCAACTCGGCTTCCTGGTTCCCCAGCAGCCAAGTCAGTCAAGGGAGCAGGCCAGCAGCGGGTCCTACCTGACCTGGCCTCTGAGGAGGAGAGGTGTTACGGAGAAAGTGACTTGCCCAAAGTATCACAGTACGTCTCCTTCTGGATCTCCTGTGCCCCAGGCCACAAGAACCATCCTCTCTATGTCCTCCACTGACAGGTGAGTTAGTAACAAGCAATGAGATGTTTACATGGACAGATCTGTGTCCTCACCACCAGTCAGATTCACAGTAACAGAGGCAAAAACCTCTCTGGAGGAGGCCAGACAACTGCACTCTCTAGGGAAGGGTCATGATTTTAAAGAAGCAATCATATATACCTACCTCCAATGCATTTGGGGCAGCAATCAACATTTATTTCATATTGGCCTGGGTTGCACTGTGGAGCTTCCGAATGAGGTAGTTGTGTTATCAAGAAAACGACAAAAATCTGTAGGGAAGAAGAGAAGAAAGAGTTTCTGATTCGCATCATGCAGACTCAACAGCAGACGGGGAGGGACTGGTAGCACCATGGCACTGATTAGTGCTGTGATGCTTTTGCCTGAACCCTTTGAGTCCCTCAGGTTCAAGGTGGGGATTCAACAGAGACAACACTCCTAGCAAGCTCTTCTCAACCCTGACCCAGATGCACTGAGCGCTAGTGTATACGGAGCAGCTTCCATCTCCCTCCTCATACTTGGGAGAATATCTTGGGGAGTTGCCAGGCTGGAGCTCCCCCGTTCCTTTGCCCTTCCCCAGCCCTGCTCAGCTCCCCGGCAGCCAGGTCCTTCTCTCACCAGCAAGAAAGAGATTCTCTCAGCCTCTGGCCCTCAGCCCTCTTATAGGGTTAGCTGTGGCCTGACTGGGGCATGGCCCAAACTGTGGCTGCTTCCCCCAATCAGACCAGCTTTTCTCCCACCACAGCCCTCTGAATATTACCCTAAGCCAGATCATTGTAGGTTACAGAGGTCAGCTACTTTGGGGCCCACTTGGTGCTGGAGTTTGTCCTTTGGCTGACTAATAAAGAGGTATGTAATTCAGCCACCAATAAGTATCATCCTTCAGAAGATATTCAAAGAAGTTGCCTCTCAATTGCAGAGTGCGCAGTATTCATCTGTTCCCAAATTATCACAACACTAAATCCATGAGCTAAGAGCATGCAACAAAGGAACTACAGTGTCCATCAGAGATGCCATGGCTGTCATGCAAATGATGGCTGGAGACAAACTGGGCCCACTCAATGAATTGGCTGCTCAGTACTTCAGGCGGGTCCTATAAGGATCTGACAAAGCTGATTCTGTAACTGAAGTCTGACAGATATGACAGCAGTAACTCTATGAAACTGCAGAAAGACGACATTGGACAGGATCTAAGGCTGGATGCAAGAAATACCAGCTGATTGGTGGGTGCCCTGGGCCTCCACAGGAAAAGTTTCTAACCGTGGCATCCAACAAGCCGTGACTTGTAAAATTCTCTGTGACTATATGGCTCAAGATGCACCTGCGAGTGTAGGAACACACCCAATACACACACTCCTTCTTGCTGGAGGCGTTTCCAATGATGAAGTAGCAAACTCCATGACCAGTGGAGGCGTTGAAGGAGCCCAAGACTCATACAGTGCTCAAGAGGAAACCGACACAAGGATGATCTACCTGCTCTACGTGCTAATATGGCTTTTGTGTCTCTTGGTGTCCAAGGAACCATAGTAATTAGATCACCTTATACAGATGTTTCGCTCATGGGCCAAACTGCCTGTGTGGCCCCGTCCACACTCCACCTCCCGGTCCGCCCCTGCTTCCCGCCGCACTCTGCTGCGGCTCTTCCTTCACATGTGGTTAGGGCCCCGGATCTGTGGTGCCTGAACCAGGGGGAGCAGGGGGCCATAGTCCTCCCACTTTTTGAAAGTGGACAGGCCTGGCCCATCCACTTTTCGCCGGGGCATACCCCGCCTCCTTCCCCTCCTCTCCCCCCAAGACCCCACCCCCAGCCAGGCCAGGGAGCCCGGGCAGCTGTGGTGGACCCTCCACCTGCCCAGGGTGGGGTGCGGGGGAGTGAGAGCAGCCCCCGGCAGTGTCCCCACCACCCAGGCTCCCTGGCTGCCTGGGGCAGGAGGAGGGTTCGCGACTCCACGCCAGTTCCCCACAGCTGCCCACGCGGCGATCCCCTGACCCGGCTCCAGCTGAGGGTGGAGCCTCGGAGCCACAGCCCAGCCACGGTAAGAGCCACGAGGACACCTGTGAGGAGATGTATAGTCACCTGTCCCAGGTTAGCGGAGAGCCCGGAGTGCGGGGACACAGGCCGGGGGCTGCTCAGGCTCCCCGCACCAGGGGCAGATAGAGGGGTCCACCGCGGCTCCCCACTGCTGCCCGCCCCGCTCTTCTCATGGCCGGGCTGTGGCTCCGAGGCCTCCCACCAGCTGGAGCCGGGTCAGGAAGAGCTGCGCAAGCAGCTGTGGGGAGCCTGGGTCCCTCCATCTGCCCTGGGCAAGGGGCCTGGGACATGGGCAGGGGACTGCTTTCGCCTCCACCTCGGGCGGGCTCTCCCCCAGGACCACTTTTGGGTGGGCTCTGGTGCCCTTGCCCTGGGCTAGGTTCTATTGGGGGCCGGTGTAACGACCAGCCCGTAGCCAGGGACTCCAGGCGGCTGGAGCCGGTGTTTGCATCGGCCACCCACCCGGTGCTCCAGGGCTGGGGGCCGTACTGCCCGCCTGCCACTCTGGGGCTCGGGCTGGGGGCCTCGCTGCCTGCCCCCTCACCCACGGGGCACCAGAAAGAAGGGGCGGGGTGGCCGGAGGCTAGCCTCCCCGAGCCTGCGTGGTCCCACCCACACTCCACCTCCAGGTCCGCTCTTGCTTCCCACCGCGCTCTGCTGTGGCTCTTCATTCCCATGTGGTTGGGGCCCCAGGCCTGTGGTGCCAGAACCAGGGGGAGCAGGGGGCCATAGTCCTCTCTGGACAGAATTGTGTACAAGCCAAGGCAAGGAAAACTTTGGTAGAGCAAGTACATTCAATGGAGAGCATAATGATGAACAAGATGATAATGATGTTGACTAGAAATGTTACCAGCGCTATTACTTTTCCATGATACTTATACAAGTTTATTATCATATTTTGTTTTACCCTTTAGTTTATTGCTTTGAGGTCACAAAGAAATCCAATTTTATCTCTTGAAATAATACATAGAGTCAGTCAACTAACAGAAACAAATGCAAATTTCAAAGAGATCATTTTAACGTGTTGATGGTGTCACTGTTTATCTCTGTTTCTGTGGTAATGGCACCACTTGACAGCTCCACAACATACCTCATCTTAAAGTAGACATACAAAGCTTTCAAATGATGTGTGATGTGTGTTTGTTTAGAGAGACTACATTAAGATGACCAAATGGATGGTGTCTGCCACTCTCCTATCAGCCCCTTACATTGCTATTGCCTCACTACCACTCTCCACATTCTGGATCAAACTTTCCTCTCATTTAAACCTTGAATAATTCTACTGACATTAGTCTGGCTAGAATCCAGCCTTTACAGCCTTAGGACGTGATCCTCCATCCCTGACTCATGTGAATGCTCAGCTCAGTTTGGGTCTAATCACATGGATCACAGAGATGGGGTTGGATTCATAAACTGTGGCCTTCGACATTTCAGCTAAAGCCGCTTTCTGTTACAATTTTTCTAACTCCAGAAGCATGGGGGATACCCTGTTAGCCACTTGGAAATCATATCCCTTTTTCCTTCATGGTGAGTTTCGCTGAATAGAATAGAATCTCTATGGATAGTAAAGTAGCTGGTTTCTGTACTCAGCTACTTCCACAGGATCAGAGAGTTACATTTGCAGCACTTCCATGGCCCATGAGAGCAGGGCACTGGGGGGCAGCT